ACTTGCACACATGCCTACCACTCACACAGAACCATCCCCTCTCACCTCCCCCTCGGGTCGCCAAGCCGAAAAGGTTGGGGACCATTGCTGGATACAGTTAGTCCTTAGTCAACAATAGTAACTTAACCATGTTAAGACAGGTTGAGCAATGGTGGCGCAGTGGTTAGAATGCAGTACTGCAGGCTATTTCTGCTGACTGCCGGCTGCCAGCAGTTCGATTGTCACCGGCTCAAGGTTGATTCAGCCTTTCCATCCTTCCGAGGTCGGTAAAACGAGGACTCAGATTTTGGGGGGGCAATATGCTGACTCTGTAAACCGCTTAGAGAGGGCTGTAAAGCACTGTGAAGCGGTATATAAGTCTAAGTAATATTGCAAGTGCTATGTTCCTAATTAAACAACTGCAGTGATTCACTTAACAACTGTGGCAAGAAAATGGGGCAAACTCACTTAACAAATGCCTCACTTAGCCACAGAAATCTGGGGCTCAATTGTGGTCGTAAGTCAAGGGCTACCTGTGTAGATGACCCAGAAGGCAGGAGAGATGAGGGGAATTGAGTTCCACAGGGCCACACGTTTTCTTGGCTGAAATTCCCTTATTTTATCTTTTTTTTTGAAAAGGAACATCTAAGACTAGACGTAGGAAAGGATATACCGGGAACGTGACTACGATCCTTGGTGAAAATCAACATTTTTCAGCCTCGGTTTTTTTGGGGGGAGCAGCCGGTGAAGAAAAAGGTGCACCAACTAAAAGCAAAGATCATGAGAAGGAGCCATGTTACCTGTTTAAAATAGCCGAAAACCGGATCGACTTCAGGGAAAAACTTGTGTACCGCCTTGAGGAACTTATCCGTGTATCCCCATAAAATCTCATCGATTGTATGGATGGTGAACATGTTTTCCTGGTAAGCCAGCAGCAACAGCTCTGCAGGAAAAGTGAAAGGCGTTCTACGAGCCATATTCATGGCCACCTGACATCAAGGGGGAAAAAAAGATGTTACGACTTTTATGATTATGTTATTGTTATCTACAGCAATAGGCATGTATTGGCTGCAGGTAGTCCTCGACTTACAACAGTTGATCTAGTGACCGCTCAAACAACGGCACTGGAAAAAGTGACATGACTGTTTTTCACACTTGATAACCCTCGTGGCATCTTCATGCTCAAAATCCAGATGCTCACATTTATGACGGTCGTGGTGTCCCGGGGTCATGTGATCACCTTTTGCGACCGTCTGACGAGCAAAGTCAGTGGGGGAAACCAGATTCACTTAACAACTGTGTAACTGACTTATCAATTGCAGAGATTCACTTAACAACTGTGGCAAAAAAAAGGTTGTAACGTGGGGCAAAACCCACTTAACAACGGTCTCAGTGAGCAATGGAAATTTTGGGCTCAATTGTGGACGGAAGTCGAGGCCTGTCTGTATTTTTTTCCCCATTAGTGTTATCCCTGAGAAAAAGAAGCTAACACTTAACGACCATGTTACTAACTTAACAACGGCAGTGACTCACTTAACAACTTGGGCAAGACAGGTTGTAAAATGGGGCAAAACTCAAGCTTAACAACTGTCTTGCTTCACAACAGAAAACCTGGGCTCAATAAGTCGAAGAGTACCTGCATTTATCAGGCATTCCATAAAAACACAAAAAATATAATTGATGGGCAGAACTGAAGCTATAAGGGTTAAAAAGGACATTAGCCACAGCTTAAAAAGTTGCAGTTCACATCAAGGGAAGCTGGCTTTAGAATTAGAGCGAAGGTGTTCACATCACTGAGTGGATTTGTTTTCAAAGGATGCCCATTACAGAACTGAGGTTATAAGAACTCTCGCTACTTAGAATAACAGAGTTAGAAGGGACCTTGGAGGTCATCTAGTCCAACCCTGGACTCAAGCAGGAGACCTTATAACCATTTCAGACAAATGGCTGTCCAATCTCTTCTTAAAAACCTCCAATGCTGGAGCTGGAGCACCCAGAACTTCAGAAGGCAAATTGTTCCCTTGATTAACAGTTCTCGTTGTTAGGAAATTTCTCCTTAGCTCCAGGTAGGCTCTCTCTTTAATGAGCTTCCACCCATTACTTCTTGTTCCTGCCCTCTGGTGCTTTGAAGAATAAGTCCACCTCTTTTCCTCCAAAGTCTGCAGCTTTGCAGAACACAAATTACAAACCAGTTTTATTCCAATTTCAAATACACCAGGGCAGAGCTTTGAATCAGTAAGCAAAATGCTCCCAAACAAGGATTTGGTTTAGCCCAGAATCAAAGTCAACCCAATAGATCACATGAAGTCTTTCTTTTTTTTTTTTTTTTTTGGCCTCATTTTGCTACCCAGTTGCAAATCTGAAGACTTACCACTGCAGGCAAGTTTACTGTCCGGATCTGATCCACTTCTGGGTCACCCACAGACAGCTCTCGCTCAAAATAGTAAGAGGTTGGCTGAAAAGAGGACACTTTTGAACCGTTCTCCAGAATGTGCACATCCCGTCGCCATTTCCACTCCCTGACAAAAAAGAACAAGAGGAAAAATGCCGTTTTCTACCGCAAAGTAAAGTCATATCAAATTCAACTCTTAAAGAAAGTTGAATGTTAAGGTCTTCTCTGCGAATTCTATCTCTATGCTCGCTTTAAATCCGTGTGTCTCAAACTTGGCCACTTGGAAGATGAGTGGACTTCAACTCCCAGAATTCCACAGCCAGCCTGGCTAATCACAAGGCAATGGTGAGTTTTAGTCCCGCCTTAGGTATGAAAGGCAGCGGGTGACTTTGGGCCAATCACCAGGAGACTGTGAGTTCTAGTCCCACCTTAGGCACGAAACTGGATGAGTGACTTTGGGCCATTCCCTCTCTCTAGGCCAGGGGTAGGCAACCTTGGCTCTTTTATGACTCGTGGACTTCAACTCCCAGAATTCCTGAGCCAGCCATGCTGAGGGGAAAGTGAGAGTTTCCAAGCTGAGCCATGCTGGCTCAGGAATTCTGGGAGTTGAAGTCCACGAGTCATAAAAGAGCCAAGGTTGCCTACCCCTGCTCTAGGTCCAACCTACCTCACAGGGTTGTTGTTATGGGGGAAATAGGAGGAAGGAGTATTATGTATGACTGCTGCCCTAAGTTACTTGTAAAAGTAATAAAGGCAGGATAAAAATCTAATAAATCCATTAAATAAAAGGGGAGTCCTGAAGCTGCTGTTTTTCAACAGAGGATAACCGCTTTTAAAAATCTCTGCTCAACTTTGCTGATAAAATACGATAGTAAAACATGAAATTATTGAGCCCTGGAATTCCAGCAAAGGAGCAATTAACAAGCATACTGATCTAGATCCAGCATATGAATATGTCAGAAACCAGACCATTCGAAGTGTCAATCAACAAGAGGACCAATCAGCTGCTCAGAATTCAAATATAGCTCCAAACGAACAACCAATCACACCACCAATGGACCCCACTGGCACACAGGACATTTATAAGCTAAGGAGAATAGGATAAGAAAATCCTACGGATGATGTTACTTTAATTAATTAGATAACCTTTATTGTCATTTTTTTCCTGTGGGCACAATGGCACACATTAAAAATGAAATTTAGTTGCTTCCTCTCAAAGTGTACACATACATAACACACATTTAAAACATACTATATACGACATATGTATAGACCAGGGGTAGGCAAGCTTGGCTCTTTTATGACTCGTGGACTTCAACTCCCAGAATTCCTGAGCCAGCATGGCTCAGCTTGGAAACCTCTCCCTTTCCCCTCAGCATGCTGGCTCAGGAATTCTGGGAGCTGAAATCCACGAGTCATAAAAGAGCCAAGGTTGCCTACCCCTGGTATAGACCTACACCAGGGGTAGGCAACCTTGGCTCTTTTATGACTTGTGGACTTCAACTCCCAGAATTCCTGAGCCAGCCAAGCTGGCTCAGGAATTCTGGGAGTTGTAGTCCACGAGTCATAAAAGAGCCAAGGTTGCCTACCCCTGACCTACACCCTTACATATAAGTAACATATAAATATTATTCGCTGTCCTTCTTGAATACATAACGGAAGGAGGAAGCTTTAGAGTTTGGTAACGAAACGTTCAGAAATTACACTGAAACAAGCTTGGAGAACAAAGCACAGCCAAAATCTAAAAGCCGAGCTAGAAGTATTTTCTATTATGTCAACAACAGTAACAAGCCCAGGCTCTTCCCCTGAACACAATGTCATTTGAAAAGAATGTAGCTTCCTAGCCCCAAGGTTTTCCAAAAGCAGGAATGACAAAGGCTGGGTTAAAATTTGGAAATTTGTGGAGGAAATTGTCACAGTTAAGTGAGATTCTGGATGAGTTTATTCTCCCCGTCCGTAACTTTTGGTACAGGACAAAGAAAATATTTTTTTTTAAAAAAAGACCCAGCAAATACAGCAAAGTGTTCCTGCTTATTTATTCTGCATAGCTAACAAAAGGGAAGGTTGCTTGACAAAGAATGCAGTCATCTCAGCTCTCTGCCAAGGCAAAGCAACCCAAGCAAATAAAGCTACATAAAGAGCTATTTAAGCTTGCAAATACAAAGAGAGGTTCAGTTCTCTGCATTGCCTATTGAAATTCAGGCTCACTCTGTCTTTGGTAAGCCAGAACAAACCAGGATAACCGAACAAGGTAGAGAAAGTCTACAAAAGAAGACATTGCCGCTGCTTAAAAAGCTTTTCTAATTGCCACAGGTCATCTGTCCTTTTTAACTAGCATGGCTGCCTTGGCGTCCTCTACCTGAAGAAAATTTGCACAGGCATCCATCCAGCAGACAAAGCTGTCTTAAATTAGACCGCTGATCCGGAGAACGAGGAACACTTAGGGATTTACTAAAGTCTCTAATAGAATTATTTGCTTTTTCCCTCCAGGAGGTACCAGAGATGAACAGGAGCTGAAGCAATACAAAAGTTATGCCCTACTATGAGCAAAAGCATTCTCGACTTACAACAGTTTGTTTAGTGACCATTCAAAGTTACAACAGCACTGAAAAAAGCGACTTATGACCATTTTCCACACTTTCAATCCTTGCAGCATCCTCATGGACACATGATCAAGTTTCAGATGTTTGGCAACTGACTCATATTTATGATGGCTGCAGTGTCCCGGGGTCATGAGATCACCTTTTGCGAACTTCTGACAAGCGGAGTCCATGTAGAAGCCAGATTCACAACAATGAGTTACTAACTTAACAGCTGCCGTGATTTAACAACTGTGGCAAGAAAGGTCGCAAATGGTGCAAAACTCACTTAACGAAGGTCTCACTTAGCCACAGAAATGTTGGGCTCAATTGTGGTCAGTTGAGGACTATCTGCATCTGTCTGCCACACAATGTACAAAATTGAACAATGCACAAAACCTAACACTTTCTTCACCGTGATTGGATAAACAGGCCACAATTGGTTCGGATAGGCAAAATCTAAGGCAGGGGTATCCAATCTTGGCCACTTTTAAGACTTGTAAGACTTCAACTCCCAGAATTCCACAGCCAGCCAGAAATTCCACAGCCCTGGCTGGCTGAGGAATTCTGGGAGTTGAAGTTCACAAGTCTTAAAGTTGCCAAGGTTGGACATATCTGGTCTAAGGGATCAGCATCTGCAATTCCATTTTTTTAAAAAAATGATGCTTGATGCACTTTATTTTTTAAAAGGCCCTGAAGATGTGTTTTGCTAATAGGCCTGGGGGGCCCAGAATGATAAGGAGCTCATTAAGTGGTTTGTTTGATTGCTGTCGGTAGGGTAGTGGGTAGGAGTTTATTGAGTTTTGTATTGGGGGGGTTTATTCTTCTAAGCCAGAGGCCCCAAACCTTTTAGGCACCAGGGACCAGTTCTGTGGGGAGAGGTTTTTCATGTGCTGCCTGCATCCCATGGATAGGTCTTCACTTGTTTGTGTGGCCTGGTTTCTGGCATGCCACAGCCCAGTGCCAGTCCACGGATCGGGGGTTGGAGACCTCTGCTCTAAGCCACCCGGAGTCACCATGTATTAGTTGGGCAGCCATATGAATTTTCTTAATACAGGTAGTACTCAACGTACAACAGTTCATTTAGTTCAAAGTTACAACAGCCCTGAAAAAGGTGACTTATAATCGTTTTCACACTTACGACCCTTGCAGCATCCCCAGGGTCACATGATCAAAATTCAGACGCTTGGCAAACTGACTCGTACTTATGACGGTTGCAGTGTCCCGGGGTCATGTGATCCCCTTTTACCTTTTCTGACAAGCAAAACCAAAGGTGAAACTAGGTTCACTTCACAACCGTGCTACTATCTTAACCACTGCAGGGATTCACTTAACAACGGTGGCAAGCAAGGTCGTAAAATGGGGCAAAATTCACTTAACAAAAGTCTCGCTCAGCAACAGAAATTTTGGGCTCAGTTGTGGCCGTAAGTCGAGGACTCTCTATATTTCATCATTTGGCAGCTAAATTTCGGAAGCATGATCTTAAGAAGCTTGGAGGGGGGAGAAGGCTGCTGAAAGCACATCTAGGTTTGTAAACCATGGTTTATAGCTTAGCACAGAGGTGCTAAGCTGTAAACCATGGGCTTATAAACCTAGATGGTGAGCTTTGCAAAGCAAATTACGCCACAAACAAACCAGCCACACAATCAATGGACTCGGCTTGAGCACAGCCAACAGGTACACCCATATACACACCCTTGATTTGGAGCTGGAAGTTACGACGGTTATTCATAAGGAACCGCCACATTAATTCACCTTGCATATATTGCGGCAGGCAAAGCATAAAGTCTGAAGCCAATGAGGCAACTATCCCTGATTCCCAGGCCTGAAGAAACTGCTATATAAGCAAGAGAGAGATTGCACAAATATTCATGATTGGAATATTCTCAGCTATCAGGCTTGGGAATGTCTGCTTGGGAATGCAGAACGGGAAGGGGGTTGAATCGGTGTGCGGGCATGGAGCCTCAACATAAGAGGCTCTCCGGGATTTCAAATAGGAGACTTAAGAGGTACCAAGAGCTGAACATGGGACATTGAGCAGGCTTTGTTTACTACTGAGTATGTTCATTCATTCTTCTCTGGTTCCCACTGAAATCACAACCAGCTCTGAAAATATAGTGTATTTTCCATTTCTGCTTGCTGAGAATAGCAATAGCACTTAGCACTTAGCCTTATATACCACTTCACGGTGTTTTACAGCGCTCTCAAAGCGGTTTACAGAGTCAGCACCTGGCCCCCCAACAATCTGGGTCCTCATTTTACCCACCTCGGAAGGATGGAAGGCTGAGTCAACCTTGAGTCGGTCACCCACAACTGTGGGAGGCAAGCCACTCCACTGATTAATTGTTCTCACTGTCATAAAACTTCTCTTTACTTCTAGGCTGGATCTCTCTTTAACAAGCTTCCGCCCATTACTTCTTGTCCTGTCCTCTGGTGCTTTGGAGAATAAGTCAATTCCCTCTTTTCTGTGACAGCCCCTCAAGTACAAGGGGACAGTTAGAATAAGAGAGTTGGAAGGGACCTTGTAGGTCATCTAGCCCAACCCCCTGCCCAAGCAGATGGCAGTCCAGTCTCTTCTTAAACGCTTCCAGTGATGAAGCTCCCATAACATCTGAAGGCAAGCTGCTCCATTGTTCTCACTGTCAGGAAATTTCTCCTTATTTCTAGGTTGAATCTCTCCTTGATCAGTTTCCATCTGTTATTCCTTGTCTGGCCTTCAGGTGCTTTGGAAAATAGGTTGACCCCCTCCTCTCTGTGACAGCCCCTCAAATATTGGAACATGGCTATCATGTCCCCCCTCGTCCTTCTCTTCAATAGACTAAAGATATCTAGCTCCCTCAACCGTTCATGACACAGTTGAGCCTCCAGACCCCTGAACATCTTTGTTGTTCTTCTCTGCACACTTTCTAGGGTCTCGGCCTCTTTTTTGTATTGTGGTGACCAGAACTGGATACAGGATTTTAAGTGTGGCCTCACTAGTGTGGTACAAAGCGGTACTATCACTTCTCATGATCTTGATGCTATCCCTCAAGTCGAGGGATATTCTCAACCATCTATTCCCTGCAACTTCACCACCTACGTACATTCATGAGGGCTAGAAGCATGCCTTTTACAAATCCCATCTCTACAGTTTCCTGCAAATTGCAAGCTTTTTTCTTTGGGAAAGAGAAACTCACAACTGCCTCCAAATTTTCCATCCCTTCCTAGGAATTTTCCTTTGGAAATCTTCTCTACTAAATCCCCGGTTATCAGGTTGAAAATGAAGGAAATCACATTACCTGTAGCTGTAGGGGCCAACTTCCTTGACAATAGGGATTTCTCCTTGAAGCACTTCCAAAGGATTAGTCAAGTTAAAAAAATAGAACTGCAGGAGAAGGGGCATTTGAGGATTCTCCCAGAATTTAAAAGTTTCTGAATTATTTCTTAAGATTGTTTCCTAGAGAAGTCAAAAAGAAAAAAAAACAATGAAATTCTAGCAAACGCAGAAAATACAGTTGTGCATGAAGGCAGAATAACAGAATTGGAAGGGAACTTCGAGGCCTTCTAGTCCAACCCCCTGCTCAAGCAGGAGACTCTACCATTCCAGATAAATGTTTGTCTGATCTCCTCTTGAAAACCTCCAAAGATGGGGCACCCACAACTTCTGGAAGCCAGTTGTTCCACTGATGAATTATTCTCACTGTCAGGAAATTCCTCCTTAATTCCAGGTTGCTTCTCTCCTTGATTAGTTTCCATCCGTTGCTTCTTGTCCTGCCTTCAGGAGCTTTGGAAAATAGGTTGAACCCCTGTTCTATGTGGCAGCCCCTCAAATATTGGAACCCTAACATTTTGATAATATTCATATTTCTAAGACTATAATAGAGCAGTTGAGAAAAGAGATCTATGAAAACTACACATTGTGACTCTGTGTACAAACCTCACTAGGGAATAAGTTTTTGTGGGGTCCTTGGTGTTCTCTGAGCTTGTTTGGTTTTTTGCAGACGTTTCATTACCAAAGTAGATAACATCATCAGTGCTAGTAAGGGAGTAGAGTTTGGTCATTTGATCATTTTATATAGTAATGGTGAGTCCTTGACTGGGCTGTTGTTTATACTGTTAGCTTACTTGTCTGAAAGCTGTAACAGCCCAATCAAGGAACTACCAAATTTACTCCCACCAACACTAATAGGCCAAGCCACTAGTATATAAAATGAGAGCAAACTGCACTCCCTATTAACTGATGTTGTAACCTAGTTGAGTCATGAAACGTCTTCAAGAAAACAGCCAAGCTCAGAGCACACCAAGGCCCCCACAGTTCAACCCTAAGCTACAAATATTCTCTTCCATCAGAAATAAGTTTTTCTTTTTCTTCTAGATACTTTTAATTTTCTGCATGTGACAGTCCCACTGCTCTCCGCATAATGGAGCACTCAGAAACTAATTATGACATCTGATTGGAATCAGGAACTCAGCCAAACCACCATTGGTGGCTTCACTGTAGGCTAAGATATCAACAAAAACAGACATGGGGGTGAGGGGAAGAGGAACATACACAAACCTTCCCAATCTTGGGATCAGCTGGAGCAATGCAAGCAAAAGGGTGTAATTTACAATCTCTGGGGAAAAATCACGTTTCAGATTTTCTGAACTATTTTGCACAGTTACGTCTCTGGAAAGCTCTCTGCCGCTCCTTGCTTAAACTAAAAAATAATTATGACCTAATTTAATAAATGAAGTAATATCATGGCTGAAGGAGACAATTAACTCCGGAACTGCATCTTAAATAAAAAAAATAATCTTATCACAAATTGCTAGGGTCCGTATGGGCAAATCAGGCATGTTTGCGCCTGAAACTACAAATTCTAGACTCTTTTGTACAATGCGATCGTTAGATCTTTATCGCAAATGCTAATTAAATGTCACTTTGCTTGGGCCGATGCCCATCCCAGCTCTTTCCCCACTGTTGCCCTAAAAGTGCATCAGATGCATTTGCTTCC